CACAAAGAAAAATAAATAAATAATTAAATCATGAGGAAGAGAGGCATCTTGCAATTTATTTTTCTAAAAGTGCAGTTCAGGGGTGTTAAGTAGTAGTGAATGAGTTAAGGGGTGTTAAGTGCAAATGAAGGTATAGATGAGAGGAAATTTGTGCATTTTACCATATAATCGATGCCCATGTTTTTCTTGACTGGCTTTTATTGATGAATATGTTCCAATAATTTTGGGCAGTTTGATCCATGAAAGATTGAGCTAATATTATGTGTTGCTTCTATACTCGTGCATGTGTGTGCATGCAAACATGCGCACACAAGGATGACCTCATTCTGTGTCTGCCTACTTTGTGTTACAGGAAGGCCGAAGAACAATACTGAGTGCTCTATGTTTTATTGAATATTTGTAGCCTATCTCCCATCCTTGCCTTACTACAAATCCAAAAGCTTAGTTTATTATTTTATTTTTCAGTTTACGTGTGTCTTGATCCTAGAATGTCTTACTCCAACTCAACGCATATTTCCTTTCTGACTTTCCATGACTAATGTGTATCATGTCAGCAACACACAAACCCATGAGCATGAGAGGACTCGCCATATCCCGTATACTCTTCTTATTTTACCATATCAAGTGTTTATATTAAAAAAAAAAATCTTAGTTCAATCTTTTTTTTTAAAGGATCATGTATTCCTAGAGTTAATATATTTTCTTCTATTTTGCAGGCTCGGCAGCCAGGTGGCGCTGATCTGTTCATATGCTATGGAGGGGTTCAGCTGCGTGACACAGTCGCAGCCAAAGCTGATTGGCTTGTTATCGACTTCAAACAACTGCTAACTTCATTGGAATAACTGTCCTCCAGTCACAAGGAAAATTTTACCACCATTATTTTGATTCAAGTTTTCTTTATAGATGTTATTTACAATTCAGAATTCAAAACATTTGTATCTAAATTGCGGTTTCTCCCAGTTTCCTTTTATCCTGTGTGTTTGTAACAATTAAGGGGAGTATGCTGGTGGTTAGTGAGGCTTAGATCTTTAGTTATACTTGATCTAACACTCAACTCTATTTGGAGGTTGACATTGATAAATTTTGATTCGAGGGGAGCTAAACAGAGATTTTGTTCTCTTACTGTGAAGTTAGCTTTCCACTAATGGAGAAGAAGGCTACAAAGCTAGTGATAACGTAAGATTTTTAAACATACTTGTTTCAATTTTTAGTACTTTAAAAGTTAATAGTTAACCACTAAATATTTCTATTTGTCAACCTACCTACTAAATAATATGGCATACGTTAGCGTCTCTCTCTAATTTACTATTCTAAGTTTTTCATAGTAAGAGAACAAAATCTCTGTTTAGCTCCCCTCGAACCAAAATCTATGCATTCAATAGAACTTCACACGTCCAAGATTAATCAAATCTTTAGTGGAACGCTAGCTTCACGCTCATCCGAGATCATCCAAATCAAAGATTTTATGTTTCTTACAAGTTACAATCTCTCTGCCGTTTCAGTTTGTTTTGCTTCGTCAAAAGAATCCTAAAGGGACCTAAGAAGAAAATACTATAGTAAATAAGGGAAGAAAAAACAACATCAAATCTGCGCAATCTAGCACAATTTCAATATAATACGTAAATGTTAATTCCATCAGGTAAAATATCATCAAGAATAGCAACATTATCATATCAGATGGGATCCACTGGGATAGTTTGGTAGGTTTGCAAAAGCTCTTGCTAACTTGTAATTGAGATGAATATGAGATGGGTCCCAATTCTTAAGGGTTTTCTTGTGGCTGTTGAATTTTCCAAAAATTTAAGAAAATAATTTTAAAAAAACATATTTCCTATAATACGTCCTTTTTTCCTTTATTCACAACCAGATGATGTGACACTCTTTTATTGGTGATGTGACTTAAATTCTAAAAAACTCATTACATACTCTTTTATTGGATGATGTGACTTAAATTCTAAAAAAAACTCATTTCATAAATTTTGAAGAAATTTGGAGAGATCCAAACACCAACTAAAATTGGTCACTTTCTCGTGACGCCCTCGTCGTTGCGGTCACCAAAAAGAAGAGAGAGAGGAAAGACGCTTGTGTTCATCCACAACTCAAATTAATATCGTTGTTGAATGGTAACTCATGGTTACCGTGCATTTCACATGTTTACTCTGTTTGGTTGTATAGTTAAGAGGCTCACATGGTAGCGAAAAAGCCTAGGTGAGGGCACGTGATTAATTCTCATCAACATGAAGTGTGTTAGCTAATAGCTGCCGGTCTTAGCGGGTTGAAGTATAAGGTCCGTTCTGTAACGAGTTTCCGCTGATTTCTGCTCAGAACTCAATCTTTCTTCTTCTCATTTGTTATTAATGGATTTGGATCCTCTCCACTACAAAAAAGTAGTGAAGAGACCACTGCTTTTTAATCTCAGTCGTTGATTATTTAGTAGGTGGTTATGATACAATCTAAATCTAACACTTACCATACCCCCGTGTATTGCATTGATTATTTAGTAGGTGGTTATGATACAATCTAAATCTAACACTTACCATACCCCCGTGTATTGCACTCATTCCTAATTTGCAATCTAAATCTAACACTTACCATACCCCCGTGTATTGCACTCATTCCTAATTTGCACTAAAAAAAATCACAACCATTAACTAGATAATCAATGGCCTTGATTATGTAGTGGTCCCTCCACTGTTTTTTTTGTAGTGGAGAGGATCCGAATCCGTTATTAATTTAGTGGCCCATTTGATCCTTCATTCAGTTCATCAATTATACGGTCTGTTCTCAGGGTCTGGAGTGTGGTTTGGTTAATTTCTGTTGTTGAGCTTCTGCCCTTTTTTTTTTATTACTCATACCTGTTATTTGGTGACTGCCCATTTGATCTTCTACTTCGTTCTTCAGATATAAGGTTTGGTAATTAATATCTGAAAAATTAAGGTTAAATTTGATTTTTTTTTTTGGTAGGTTGCTGTGAGTGATGGGTTCTTGTCGGTTGATTCTGTTGGTGATTCTTTCAAGCCTGCTTAGATTTGGAGTAGGAATCCGTTGCTGTGAGTGATGGGTTCTTGAAATGCTTGATCGCCCGATGCTCACTTACAACAGATCCTCTCTCTCCCTCTCGATCTTGAACTCGAGAAAAGCTCATGTAAAACTTTGGACTGAGCTCTCTATCGAGCATCTTCCAACCAACTTTGTTATCACTTGGAATTGCTTTTTGTGTGATGATGTGTGATATACATCAGGGCACACACATCTCAAAGGCGACTTCGATGTGTATCACCCATCAACACACATCTCCGAGCAGATCCACAGGATTAAAAAGTTGATGACAGACCCCGGTCCACTTAAGTTTACATGCATGAGCCGCTATATATCTGTGCGCGCGCCTGCGCGGATGTGCGCATATAATATATGCATGCATGTGTGACTGAAGAATGAGTAATGAGGTGACAACTCATTTTGCTAAATGAACTAAGATATGTGCACTAATGTGAGGTCAACCTTACCAGAAAATCTGAAGGTGTGGACCTCGCCACTCGTATCTCTTGGTATCTTATTTTGCTAGATGAGGTGACAACTTATGTTCAATGTGTCATATATGTCTGTGGGCAGGCTAGGTGTTGTTTTCGCAGATTGCATGTGGGTACGCGTGGGCATGTGTTTGTCAAACGGACACTTCTCTGTAAATTTTGCGCTCTCTGTATATAAAGCTGACATTTCTCTGTAAATTTTGCGCCCTCTCACTAAATAACTGCGCTCTCGGACTCTGTTTCCTTTATTTTTCTGAAAGAAGGCCCTTTTTTTACTCAAGTGGTTCTGTGCTATTTGGATGTAACAGTAGTTGATCATGAAATTTTGAAATTTGAGTACTTGCATTTTCCTTAGTTAATATAGTTTCTTATTTATGTTGGTATTTAACTCCTTTCACTTTGAGCGGATAGTTCATAGAATTTCGGAACGGTTTACTTTGTACGATTTCAGGCTGAAAAGGTTCCTTCTGACCAGGGATGTCCAAAAAGCCCATCAGCCCGGGCCAGGCTCGGGGTTGGCCCGGAAACCCTGGCCAGACCTGGGTCAGGGCCCGGGCCCGGGCCTACTTGACGGCGACCAGCCCGAGCCTGAGCCCAGCCAGGTACAGTGCCGACCGGGCACAGAA